TGGTGGCAGAAGCACACTTCGGGAAGCAGTACCTGCAGCTTCAACTGTGGGTGCAGCACAGGCTGGGCTGGAACTGACCAACACCTGGAACAAAGCTCTGCTAACATGCCCCACTTCTCCCAAACATTGCTGACCTCTTTTCGATCCAATATATCATCTTGTGCTTCATTAAGTTACATGGCTAACACCTCTCACAGGTGGTTCTTTAGTTCTGTCATCCTCTTCCCAGGGATGTTCAGCTCCATGCAATAATTTCTATGTACCTGAAGCTATAAGATTTTTAAAGGATCAAAAGTGAGGCTGGCAGGTACAACAAGTGCCCTGTCATTCTTCCTGCATGAAGCAGCAGTTAAACTTCTTTGGAATAAGACAGAAAAAGGAAAGAAAGAAGGGAAAAAAAGAGGAACCAATATCCAAAACACAGGTCACCAGTAAAGTAGCTGCAATTGGCAAGCAGGGAATCAGCCCAGAGCTGCGACTTATGAAGGGCACCAGAATTGCTCCCCACTTCTGCAGAGTCCACATCCCAGCAGCAAAAGCAGCCCTGCGCCATCACTGTTGCATCAGCAGTTGATGCGTGAACACAGTGCTATTTTTTTAAAGCAACAGCCAGTAGGCCTGTGCGAGTTGGCAGCGATCCAATCCAGCTTCAGATCCATCTGCTTCAGATGTCAGTGATCTGATCTGGAGCTCAGATCGATTTGCCACTTAGATCAGGCCAAAGCAGCTCTGAAGCTTTGGAGCCACTTCGGAGATCCAGCTATAGGCTATAATGGGGGATCAATGAAATATCTATAACTTTGTTGTTTTACATCTGATTTGGGTGCAACTTCCAGGGATGGTAGCCTCTGCTGAGATCATGAAGATTCCAAAAGTTCAAGAAGATCGGTGCAGGGGTTTAGGAGGAACTGCACCCCAAATTCTTGAAAGCAAAACTCCTGTCATGTCTATGTGTTACACCACAGGGGGATGAAATCCACCAGAGTGGTATCCCCTGATGAGGCCACAAAGCATGCCAAGTTTCAAGAAGATGGGTGCAGCAGTTTGGGGGGGAACTGCACCCCAAGCTTCTGACATCCCAAGCAGGGCCAAGGAAGTGGTCCTCCCCCTCTATGCGGCACTGGTCAGGCCGCAGTAGGAGTACTACATCCAGTTCTGGGTGCCGCACTTCAGGAGGGATGTGGACAGCATTGAGAGGGTCCAAAGGAGGGCCACCCACATAATCCGGGGACAGCAGGGCAGGCCCTACAATGAGAGGCTACAGGACCTGAACCTGTTCAGCCTTCACAAGAGAAGGCTGAGGGGGGACCTGGTGAACATCTATAAACTCACTAGGGGGGACCAGCAGGGCTTGGGAGACACCCTGTTCCCTTTAGTGCCCCCCAGGATAACAAGGAATAATGGCCACAAGCTGACAGAGGGTAGATTTAGACTAGACATCCGTAGGAACTACTTCACAGTCAGGGCGGCTAGGATCTGGAACCAACTTCCAAGAGAAGTAGTGCTGGCTCCTACCCTGGGGGTCTTTAAGAAGCGGCTTGATGCCTACCTGGCTGGGGTCATTTGTGCCCGGTTTTCCTCCTGCCCAGGCAGGGGGTCGGACTTGAAGATCTACAAGGTCCCTTCCGGCCCTACTTCTATGAATCTATGACAGGCAAAACTTGTAACACAAATGACCCTGTGTGTGTGAAGGTATAGTGGGCTGAAAACTGCTGGGGTGGTGGCACCTGCTCAGGCCACAAAGCCTGCCAAGTTTCAAGAAGATTGGTGCAGGGGTTTGGGGGAAACTGCATGCCAAGCTGCTGCCAGAAAAAAAACTCATGATGTGGGTGGGTGCTTGGGCAACTGCGTCTGTCTTGGGGCACATGGGGTGAAATCGAGTGCAGGCCTGGGTGCTGGGCCCTGCCAGGCCATGAAGCCTGCCAGCTGTGTGTGTCTCACTGGGGGAGTCTGTTGTCCAGGGCCCTGCACCCCAAGCCGCTGACAAGGAAAACTCGTGATGTGGGTGGATGACATTGTGTGTGTGTTAAGGTGCACCCTTCCTGGCACTGGGGCCTCTGCGCAACACGGAAGTGTGCCCCAGGGAGGCCTCCTCTTCCCCTACAGCCTCACGCCCAGTCCTCCACTTTATGCGACAACAGATAAAATAACTTAGCTGGCTCAGCACCAGTAGCAGAAGCAGCAGCAGCAAATGTACCCAAACAGAACTGTCACAGAAGAAGTAAAGATGTTGTGTTGTGTTGGACATATGATGTTATTCATGGTGTGTGATGGCTTATCTTGTGTTTTTATGTATCTATGTATATGATGAAAAAAAAAGGAGTACTTAAAAATGTATCTTTGGAAGCTTTAGGGTTGAAAACCCCTTTGTCAGGCTGAGGAAGTACCTGGACTTGGTCCTGGATGAAATGAATAGTAAAGAATAATATTTGGCATATAAGAGGCTAAAATATAAAACATATTGCTGGTAGGGGTACATGGGCAACTGGTAAACATGGAAGGGGGTACACAATAAGAAACCTCTGATTTAGAGTACTTGCTACAGTATATCTGTCACATGTCATGTGGCAGTGATTCTCCACCACAGTGCTGGGGGAATGGAGAGATAATCAGACAAGCATAGGCTCAGCTACTGCCTGGCCATTCCCTCCCACGCGTATGCACACTGCCAGTCCTCTCTGCAAGGAGGTAAGCACTATAATAAATAAGCTAGTTTTTTAAATGGGGAGCCACTCAATTCACGAACATCACAGAGGGGTGTCTCAAATCCGTTGAGGGGTACCTCAAGTCTACAAAGGTTGAGAACCACTGGCATATGGTAAGCATAAGCTCATCTTGCCTACATCTGTTCAGAGGCAGCAGAAATACCGACAATAAAGTCTCCATAACTTGAAGGACAGTATACATGGGTGGTGGATTTCATGACTACTCAGTACATCCTGTTAATTCTGGCTAGGTGTCAATAATGCAGGCTAACAGGCATCACAGCTAAAGAAGATTGAGGTCTGCAGACATAACATCTGCCATTACTTGTGAAAGAAAGTCTGGAATCTGGGCATGGGGGGAGCAGATATTCCTTCTCCTCAACTCAGCATTTCTTAACTGGGTGGCTGGCTGCTTGTTTCTACATAGCTGACCTTCAGCCAATGCAAAGGAAGAGAAATGACATGATTGTTTCACTCCCCTCAATCATATTTCCTACCACTGAGTGTACTTGTCATGACCAGGGATGAAATGATAGTTTTGGAGATTGAAAGAGGTTTCAATGGGAATTTCATGCTACATTTGAAGTGTCTGTCTCAATCAAAATTCACTCAGAACTTCTTGAATTCAGCCCACCGGTAATTATTAAATAATAAAGAAATACAGAAAGAAGGTATGGTAAATTCAGAACTATAGTTTTATCTGTCATTCATATTCTCAAAAAGCAGAGTGCTTTTTCTCCCCCTCTCCAAACCACATTAATTACTGAGATAGTAGAAGTAATGGTGAACTTTGCAAAAGGTCTGGAAAAATCAACTAGGCATATCTGTTTGCAAGTGAGTTGTCAGCAGTGAAGCTAGCAAATTATTGCTTGGGGAATTGCACGGAGAAAATAACTAGCTTAATTAACTGGTCCTCACAAAAGTGATCTGAAGAAATATTGCTTTATCAGCAAAGTACCATCCTTTTCTCAGATACTATCTTTAAAATGTTTTAATTAGAAACAGCATTGTAGGCTTTTAGAATTTCAAAGCAGACTCTAAAGCTAGGCTTGTATTAGTATTCCAGATCTCGATGCCCCAAAACTCTGGAGCAGCTTTAAACTGAATCCAGAAATTACTGGGCAAAGCTGTAGCTAAAAATAATAGAATAAGTTAGTTTAACTTTAATATTTATTTTATAAAAGAAAAGATAGTAAAAGTCAGTCTGCAGAATCTTTATGAAAAATCAAGGGATTTGATTAACTGAGAGAGTTTTAATTTAAGGTGAACTTGTTCATCTCATAGTTGGAGACATACAGATGTTACATTTAGATTAACCCAACTAAGGTTAAGTCAATCTAAATGTGCATCTGTGCAAATGTTGCAGAGAGGGAGGGGGTTTATATTGGGCTAAAATGGTGAGTTTGATCTAAGTTCATCTCAAGTGAACTAACTTAGACTGGGAACAGGTTAACCCAAGCCACTAAAGATCTGTTTGTGTTCAGAGTGCAGCCCCAGAGCTAAGAAAGCCCAGCCACTTGCCCCAGCCCTGGCGAGGAATTCTTCCACTCTCCCAACCCTGACTGGACCATTTTTTAGCCACCCAACCCTCCCACCCCTGGATGGACAACCAACCCTCCCCTGCAGACATGTAATCCCCACCCCTGACATACCCATCAGCCTCCACCCTCTGCCTAAGCCTGCCAAACACCCCCTGGACCTTCCAACTCCACCCCTCCCCATGGATCTGATAGCCCATCCCTAAATCCTGCCCACCCTTCCCTCCACCCTGAGTTACTTACACCGTGTTCCCCATGAGGCTCCCAGCACCAGTAAACATCTGTGCATGCTGCTCCCAGTCTACAATCACACATCTTACAGCAAGCTGTATAATCATGGACCAGGTACAGCAAATATTTTTGCACACCCATAGATAGATGGGACCCAGGATTTCTACGAGGCACACAAACAGACAGAGACATGCCAAGAGTGCTTATGCAAGGCCTTTCCTCTATCTTCTTGCAAGCTCTTATCTGCCCACAAAAGAAAAGGAGAGAGGTTTCCCTCTTGACCATTTCTCAGTCTTGAAACGACATTCTTAATAAAGCTTAAAATAGAATGGCTTTTTTAAAGGGGCAACATTCAGGATTCATCTTAAATCTAATGTAACTTTAGTATCTGCAGATAAACCTGGGATTGAGCAAGTTTGGAATTTGTCAGAGTTTTCAATCTAACAATATTACCATATCCCCAGCAGCTGAACTTTACTTACAGGAGCTTCTAGACAGGGCATATTTCCTCTTTGTCTTTGTAAATTGTGGCTGTTGGTTTCAGAAGCGGACTCTGTGATCAGCAAACCATCTCTCAGATCTCCAGGTTAGCCTGCAAAAACACTGGATATTGGCCCACAACATTCATATATTCAATGCATTTAACATTTTTAGTTACACAAACAATGAAGGAGATTTTCAAGTCTTGCGTGTTAGGAAGTTAGGGGGTGCTTTTTAAGGGCATTTCCCAATTCATACACATCTCATTGATCATGTATCCTGCCGCATTTTGGCATCAAATGGGAAGGGTTGATTTCATGGATCACTGCTCCAATTTTTTTTTGCATATTATTACATACCAGGAACCAGAAAATAGCATTAAATATGCAATGTTCACTTGTCCCAACTCATTTTTAGTTTTCAGATATAAACTGCTATAAGAAAAGAAAGAGAGAGGCTGAGTATACACCTCTCCCATTTGTGTTCTCCCAGTAGAAGAAAACCTATCAGGAGAGTATTATACAGATGTTAGAGGAGCTGGGCAAATCTCTGAATCCGAATTGAATCAGGAGAGCCTTTAATCTCTCTAAATTGAATCGGAACCCTCCAAATCAATTCAGAGAGATTCTATGATTTGGACCACAGCTTTAAATGTTTTTTCTACATACCTCAGGGTACCAGGTGGCTTGTGAATGCTGAGATGGTGGGACAGATAGAGTCCCATGGGAGCATGGGCGGGGGGGGGTGGTCCCCAGCACACTCGGCAGCAAACCCAGAAGTGGACCAGAAGCTGGTCCACTTCCGGGTCTGCTGCCAAGTGCGTGGGGGACCCCGTCCCCCACCCCCCAGCTCGGCAACTGGTGCCTCCTGGGTCTGGAGGGGCACTGCGAGTCCCTCCACAGCCCATCACCAAGCTGGGTTCCCCATGCTCCTGTTGGGCACTCCATCTGCCCCACCATCTCAGTGTTCATGAGCTGCACCTGGTACCCCTAGGTATGTAGGAAAAAAACATTTAAAGCTGTGTCTATGGCCGAATTGCTGATTCTCCAAATCAGCATCAAATCTCCAGATTCAGCTATCTCAAATCGGGACAGTGATCTGAATCAACAAATCAAACCACTGTCCCCCAAATTGGGCTGAATCCAAATCCAAATCAAATACAGCCTGCTTCACACACCCCTACATCCCAGTGTATCTTGCAGGCTTCTCTGGCTGCTGGAGACTGCTGAGAACAGCTAAGCACACACGGCAGTGCTGATTTGCTGGATACCCCAGGGGACACCCTGCCCAGGGAACTCCTGCTCACAATCATCCTTTCCTCTCAGCTGTGAGGCTCAGAGAGGACCAGAGTGTGTCTGCAGTCTTGTCAGGGACAGGTGTCAGTTTGTATTCCAGACGCCCACAATAGATTCCTATCCCTCTTACACAAGCCAACAGAACTTGTTCCTGAAACTACATTGTTTTCCTTGGGGTTTCATGAGGGGATCCCAGTGGGGAAAGACCAGCTACATTGGAGAGAAACACCCACAGACATAGGACTGGCACATAGGATGGAGTTATGCCTCCATTTCCCAACGTTGAGCATTTGCACTTACATGGGTTTCCTTGGGGTTTTGTGAGGGAATCCCAGTTGGGAAAGTCCTGACTGGTTGCCTACAACTCTGGTGAGGAGGAACACCCATAGGGTGTGGGTCTGGTTGGGTGGGCAAGGGTCTCCTCAGGCAGTTGAGGGTCTCCTCAAGTGGGATCCACTCCCTACCCTAAGCCAGAACCAAAGCAGACAGACCCTGCCACCTCCGGACTCCAACTGGCTTGACTCTGTTTTCCTGTATCTTTAGTACCTTTACCCCACCCTATCCCTATGTTTTGGCCCATCAGACCCCTCTCCTCTAGATCTGGACCAGCCTGACCCCCATTGCCTGCATCTAAAGTACCTTCAGCGCACATAGCCATGTGCTCAGACTTGCCATGTGCAGATTGCCCTGAGCTTCCCCTTTTACCCTTGCTGGAGTAACTTAAACCCAGACCCAGACCTCCTCAGGGTCATGTGCAGGAGACATGGCTGCCTCAGCAGCCTATGACTTCCTACAGGCCTGATGATGGTGAAGGTGCTAGGAATTCCCAGACACAAAGCATTCTCTGGACTTGATTTGCTCCCTGCTTGCCTGAAACAGTAGAGTGTAGCCAGAATAACACACTGGGTGCATCTACATGAGATGCTTTATTGTGCAGTAGTATAGTTTACTGCATAGTAAGTGTGCACATCTGCAAATTTTCTCGCGAGTAGTTACTACACAGTAATGCACATGTAGATACTAAAAAGACACCAACTGGGAGTGTATTTGCTCCCAGTCAGCCCTGCCCGCTAGGGGGCCAGCCTGACCTCAACCCCAGGAGCATTTGGTGCCCCAGAGCTGGACTGGCTCTATGGCAGCCCCATCCCCAAGCCTTTAAATCCCTTCAGGCAGCTTGAGCCCTGGGGCACAAGAGCAGGTAGCCTGGGATGACTGCTGCCCACTGTACCAGTTGTACACTGTACCAGCCTGTCTGCACCCTGGTGCCACTTCCTGGCACCAGAGTGCTGTGTGGCTGCCAGGGCTGTGCTGTCCAGGCCTTCAGAGTGTTTCAGGTTCCTGCCAGAACCTGGGCCCAGCTGCAGGCAGCTCCTGGCTACTGGGGCCAGCTCCAGTTGCCTGCAACCAACCCCCCACAGCCTGCCTGGATCCTGCAGCTGCTGCAGGGCATCACCTTGCTGTGCACCTTGCTGTGCAGCTGCATTGTACCCCTGTGTGGGTGCTGCAGGCAGCTGCCCAGGCCCAGCAGCACAGGGACACCCATATGGACACCCAGAGAGATGGCATGGGAGCCCTGATAGCATTGTCACTGATGCCACACACCACCTCCCAGGGCATCAACTGGTCCATGGAGAAGACTGGCTACCTCACGGTGCTGTGGGGCAAGGCAAAGATGCAGCAGCAATTTGCTTGGGGCAGGTGCTCCAACACCCATGTCTTTGAGGAGATGTCAGGCCAGATGCAGGAGTGCAGGTATGACCGGCCGGCATGGCAGTGCTGCATAAAAGTAAAGGCTTTGTGGTCATAGTGGGTTACCATCACTGACCACAGCCATCAGTCAGGGAGTTTCCACAAGTCCATGTCCTTTATGCAGCAGCTGACTGACATCTTCATGCCCCAGGACCCAGGCTGCAGTCATGCTGCGTATTGCAGCAGGGGCAGCCTGCCCAAGACCCTGCTCCAGCCCTGGTACCTCCCCACCCTGGCCCCTGCTTCTGCCCTTGCCCCACTCTGTGTGTGGCCCCACCATGCTCCCCTGCCCTGGGTTTCCCCCACCACAGTATGCAGTGAGGCAGGAGACAGTGCAAAACTTTACTGAGCAGGCTGCTCTCACAGGTAGGTACACATGGGACTCTCACATACTGAGGAATGCATCAATGCCGATGGTGATGTCCTCCTCGGGTGTGGGGGGCAGGGGCATGTCGTGCAGCCACAGGTAGCCCTCCAGGCAGCAGTGTAGGTTATGGGGCAGTGCAGGCTTGCCCCCTGACACCTTTGAAGCTCAGGTCCCATGCCAGGTGTGCAGATGCATGCAGGGCACTGTGGCCATCAGCAGCAGCAGGGCATAGTGGGTCAGGCACCCCTCAGTCCATGCAAACAGATCCTTGAGCTGCACCAGTGATGCTGCATGTATCCCAACCAGTGACAGGGGCTGGAACAGCCATGATGCAGGGAGGCAGAGGCTGTGGCAACACCACAATGCTGCCCCCGTGCTCTGTATGCTGCTCCTGGCTTAGAAAGTGACTGACCAGGAAGCAGGGCTGCATTTTCAAGATGATTTGCAGCTGCAGGCAGCTGTGGCCAGAGCCTCTATCTCCCCATAATGGCGGTGGGGCCCATTATAGGGGGCAAGAAATAGGAGCAGTTTTCTGCTATTTGCAGTTTGCTACAAATCTGCTTCCCTGCATGTTTGGATAGCTGCCCATGACCATTTATGCGCAAGTAGTTTACTATCAAGTAAACTGCTCCTGCATTAAATGTGCATGTAGACATATACACTGTCTCTCTGGACCCATATCTGGATCCATGAGGGGAAGAGGAGCAAAGCAAAGTAAAGCCTGCTGGGATGTCAGATAAGTGCACTGCCACTTCTATTGGCAGGTTGGACATTTGGTCTCCTGGGAGAAACTCTACTGAGAACAACTTCTGCCAAGTTGGGGTCAGTTAATTTTTCTCCCAGAGTCACCATTTTTGCTCTGTGAGAATATCTGTACAGTTTTGATTTCTACCAGAACAGTTGCTACTCTCCCAATAGAAACCACAACACCTGAGCATTGCCCAAGATAGATCTGTTTCTGATAAAAATCTACCTTTAGGACTAAAGACATTATTTTTAAAGTTGGATGCATAAAGCTATTGATAAACCTTTGTTATTGGTTTCAGCAGGGTTTCTGGGCACTCAGCAACTCTGAAAGTAATTAGCATAATCACAAGGGGAAGCAAATGCTTACCTAGCAAGAAAAAGAAGTTGATACATGTGCTCTGAGCAAAACCAAGGTAAATATCACTAGGGTGAACTCATATAAGTCAGAATTGTCTTTAATAAAACATACAGAAAATATTTTACTGGTCACAGACAGGGACCTACAAAAAAAATAAGGTAATTCCTATTAAGTTATTACAGCATGTCTAAGAATAATTCATACAAATCTTGATTAGAATGCAAAACTCAAAGCTTTGTAAAGCCTTGGTTATCCTTGCCATGAGCAGTTGTCTAGGGTTTTTTTGTTTTTTTTAAGCTTCTCAAATGTAAATGGAAAAATCACTTCAGGAATCAAAGCAGTAAAGTTGCCATCTCTGTTCATAAAAGTCAGGCTTTGAATATTTTGACTACTTTGGATTTCAGTAAAATTATTGATGACCTGGGCCACAATATCCATTAATTCACTTGGATTGGATGAGTCAGAGGTGAACTTTAGGAAGGAGCAGGTTAACTTTTATCACAATGGGAAAAGGAAATCACATTCCAGATGTTTCTGGAAAGTCTGGCTAAAATAGGGACATCTACATTTCTAAAGAGAACCATTCACGTTGTGGTTTTGTCCTTGCTTAACGTTAGATGTTTGTCAGATAACTCCATTCCATACACTCAGTTTTTAACTCCTTGGCTAGGAAGTAGGGGAGCAGGGCACAAACCGCAGCTACTGCCTAAGGAGGTGTCTCACCCTCCCCTCACCAGACCTCTCCCTCCTCCTTCTCCAGCTCCAGCCCCATGCAATTGTGGCACAGGAGCATGCATCCATGAGTAAAGGGCATTGTGGGGAATCTAATTCTGTTGAGATGTCACAGCAGTGGGGTACAATGCTGCAGATGGAGATGTCACCTAATTTTATGCTGCTGAAAGTGGGAGATTTATTGCCTCAACACAGGCATGTGCAGCAGAAAGAATGAGGTGACATTTCCCCTCGGTAGCAGCAAGCTTTAGCTGCTGTTCCTGCATACTGTTATATAATATGGGTATGTGCTGTTAAATAGCTGGGGTGTTCTACCCAGGAGTGTTTGTACAGTGGTGGATCAACAGGATGATTTAGATCAGAGCTGCCCAACTGGCAACCTGTGGGCCTAGTGAGCACACTGCCCAAGTGGCAGTGGCAGGAAAAGGAGGGCTCATGTTGCCTACCTGTGCACTGGTGGTAGAGGGGAAGCTTCCACTGCCCACACAGAGGAGGTTTCAGGGATCCCACAAGGGGGCTGTGACCAATGTGGCATACAGCCCCCAGCCACAGAAATGTTGGACAGTTTCATCTAGATAAATCAAGGCCAGTTACCCTGATTTCAACACAACAAAAGAGTTGCCTACTATGGAAATACACAGTCAATACAGGGACCACTTCCATTAAATATGGAAAACTCAACTTTTCAAATGCACTTGTCCACACTACCCACTATGCTTGGAAGGAATGCCCCTCAAAACAGCCAGTCACTTTGTTGTTCTCCTTGAACTCCCCACTTAAAACTCTGCTTTGCTGTGGTATCCACAAGAAGTTTGATTGTAGGTGTAACAAGGGCTCAAGCTGAAGCCTCATTACTAGGCAGACCCGGGCCCAGGTAGCTGGAAGGGCCGGGACCACGGGGGTAGAGGGTTTAGCTCACTAGGTACACATAAGGGTAATTAGGGATGCTGCCATGCTTAAAAGGCAGGATGGGAGAACTGGTACTCTGCCCTTGGGGCACTGGAGAAGAGGAAATAGCCATGGAAAGTGGCAAAGCAGCAAACAAAGCCTCCCAGTGAAGGAACACTGGATCTGCGGAGATGGGGTGAGCTAGGGGATACTTACCTGATGGGGAGTGGACAGCAGGGAAAAAAAACAAAACAAAACAAAACAAAAAAAAACAAAAAAAAAAAAAAGACAGGACCCATGAGTGCCAGGAAACTCTGTACCCACAGCCAAGTAATCCCAGTGGGGTAGACAGTGGCAAAGACACGGTGATCAAGGAGGAGAGTGGGGAAAACGTTGCTCAGCAGGGCTGCAGCATCACTGCTTCCTTGTTAATGAGGCAACTAAGGGCAGCAATTAGCAACTGTAGCCAACACATAATAAAACTTCACAACTTGTTAACTAACTTCTGGGTGATCTGTGGTGCTTCAGCCCTCTCAGGGGATTAACAGCTAACCATTTTTTCCCATCAAAGTCATGGCAGGACAGCCCTGAGGGGAAATAGTGAGTGAAGCAAGCATACACCCACAGTAGGCATCCTGTTGCTGGACTGAGACTGTCACTCATTGTGCTAACCGGTATGGTTTCCTTGTACTCCCCATTTGCCTCTATCCATGTGCTGCATCTTACCTTATGCTTATATTGTAAGCTGTCTTGGGACAAAGATTAATTAGTTCTTCTGTGTTTGTACAATGGGTTCCTGGTCCACAGTTAGAGATTCAAGTCTCTGTGATAAGCAAACAGCTACCAGCACACCACTTAAAGAAAAAAATTACAGCAAGTTACTTTTATCAGCTAAACTGTGTTGACATAATAGCCTTAGACTTGTATAAGGTATTTGATTTAATACTACACAAACACTCTGATTAAGAACATTAGCTTTATACAGAAATCAATGTAACGTATTTAATTAAAAAACGACTAAGAAATCTCAAAATCCAATTGTTAGTATAGTCATGGAAAAAGGGGTGCTAGTACTGGGGTTCTACTGGTCCCCCTTCTATCTTCTTCAATGTTCTAAAAGAAAATATGAAGTCGCTGTATCATCTACAAATTTTGTCAGTGAAGATTGGTGGAGTAGTAAATGTTGAGGACTAAAGTAATTACCTATACCCCTTTTTTAAGATGAGTTCAATTGAGCAGCATGCACTTTGAAACAGCTAGCTGCAAAGTGATGCATCTTGAAACAAAGAAATGTAGGTCAGACTGACAAGCAAGGAGGCAATTTCCTATACAGAAGTGACTCTGTAAAGGACTTTACGGCCATCAGTGATAACCAGCTAAACATGAACTATCAGTGCAATGTTGTTGTGAAAAGGAAACTTATATATATATATAAGTTTCTGCTAGGATGACCACCTTTTCAAAATAAAAAGGTGGGATGCATGCCCACCTCCTCCCCACAAAGCAGGCAGCACAGCCAGAGCAGAGCTGAGTGGAGCCCATGGTGGGTGGGGGAGGATGCTGGCTGCCCACTGCAGGCTTGGGGCTCCCCTCCCTGATTCCCTCTACCCAGGGGCATCCATGGGCCAGCTGTTGGGAGCCAGAAAGGGGGAAGGGGGACAAAAAGGCTTGGTGCTGCTTCCACCACCACTGGGAGCCCCATGCTGGCCATGCCACTATGGCAAAGAGTTCCCTGCCTGCCCAGCACAAGGCACAACTCCACATCACCCCTGCCACTTCCACTCCTGCTGCTGCTGCCAGGTGGGCAGGGGGCACTTCACCTTGGCAACATAGCTGATGCAAGGCTCCTGGCAATGATGGTGGCAACAACAAGCCTCTCTCCGCCCCGCTCCATCCCCCCCTCCCCATGCCATGTCCCACCTGCTGGACCATGGTGGCCCTAGGGGAGGGCAATAGGGCACAGAGCCCCGAGTCCTCACTGGGCAGACCGCATCCTTCCCCACCCTGCACACAGATCCAGTTGTGCATGTGCCCTCCCCACCACCATTTCCCTCCCTGGGAGTGCGCACAGCTGCAGGGAGCCAGCTCCCCTACCATGCCCCAGATAGGGTGCCTGTAGCTCCATCCCGCTCCCCGGCCAACCCTGCAGCTGCACATTCCCACCCTGGCCCCATACATTACCCCAGCTGGGCAGTGTCACCAGACCTAGCCCCTGCCTCGCTCCCTCCCCCACCGTGGGGGCCTCAGTCTGCTCTCCCCTCCCATACACTTACCTGCAGGGAGCTGCTCCCCCCTACTACCTAGATGTATTTTTAGCCATGTGCATGTGTGTGTGCAAACACATGCATATGGTGCCCTACTGCATCCCACTTCCCCCAGCCCCAAGCATCCCCTTGCAGGCTGGGACTGTGACAGCCTGCAAGGGGAAATCCACCATTTCCCATGTTTTTCTGCAGCAAACAGAACACATGGTTCCCTGCACAGCATTCGGAATCCAGGATAAATGCTGTCCTGGAATCATTCAGCCCAGGAGTGACACTAGATGTTCATATTTCAGGACTGTTCCACCCAATTTGGTATGGAAGGACCCATTTGTCACCAGGACCCCTCAACACGAGAAGTCTACTGCCTGCCCAAAGCAAAGATTCGGGACGTGACGGGAATGATCCAGGCCGTCATTCAGCCCACCGATTACTACCCCATGGTCCTAGTCCATGTGGGTACTAATGATGCAGCCAGGAGAAGCCCTGATCACCTGATGACAGA